TGTATGAGTGCCTATGTACAGAGATGGCTTGGTTGTTCTGTTTCTAAGCATGGGTTCTGTTCACTGCTGCAGCTCACACCCAGGAGTGAATGACACAGCATCTGCCTTCTGTATTTCTAGTTCTGGTTTGGACAAATAGGTTACATTGTCCAAGTGCTCCCTAACCAGTGAATCAGTGAAAAGAACCCAAAAGGAATGCGGTGAAGGGTGGGGGAGAAGGGAAGATGGTGAGAAGCAAGGAAAATAAAAATGCCGGAGGAAAAAACTTCATGATAAATGAAGATACACACAGCAGAAGGTTGATGATGGAAGAGGGTGATTGTGTGAGATTGAACCTAGATGCAGGGTGAACTGAGGTGAACGGAATAAGACCTTGGTTTCTCAGTCATTTGCTAATTTACAGCTCAATCTTCTACTGGGACTGCCAGAGCAAGAGGACCACACAGGAGTTTGGTGAAAATAAGACAACAGGAATTAAAGATCACTGTCTGGCACTTGCCTTGCTTCCTTTTACAAATACTTACTCTCACTGTGTAAATAAGAATAAACAAGGGAGGGAGTATTAAGCTCAAGTCAGTAAGTTAAGGTCCAAGTGAAAAAGATCCACTTAACCTCTGGTGTTTCCTGTACTTAATATATTGGCTCTGAATATTGCATGTCATCAGCAGCTTTAGGAAATCAGATCTGCTAAATATTTTACTGGTGGATATTTTAAATGTCTTCAAAACATAACGTTCAAGAGGCTTTCCATTTAAATTCTTATTTTCAAAATTACATTTTCTGATTACAGTGAATATAATATATTCACTGCAGAAAATATAATTCTGAGTATGAAACAGGGTTACTTTAAAGAATCAAGTATTTTACAGTCACTGGCAGAAAACTCCCCTTTATACAAGAGCTTCACAATAGAAGTCAATAAGATTTCTTTGGTAACGTTTTCAGCTAAATCAACTGTTTTTAATCTTATTGTCATAGCAAAGTAAATGTGACAGCATTGTCAGAATATGTTCTCTGTTTTAAAGTTTATTGCTTTTTCTCCCCCTCCCCCCCAACAGAACAAATGTTAATAAAAAAGGAATTTACCGGTTTGAACAGGCTTCAAAATGTAAGGCAATTCAGGACAACATTTTGTCATCATCTATCAAGAAGAAAAGGTAGGTGTTTGCTGTGCTTTCTGCTTTGTTTGTTTTAAATAGAGGGGTAAAAGATTGTCCCTTTTACATAATTCTCAATAATATTAATGTGGAGCTATACAAAAGGATACTGTAATTGTTCAACCAATGTTTGCCTGCATTTTTTCTTTCACATGTATTAGATTTATTTGAGGTTGGATTTTTTTTTTTATGCTCACAGTATAAGGCAACAAGATTTCTCCTTGCCAGTTAGCAACATTTTATTCCAAGATAGTCACAAAAAGGTATAACAGAATCTGTGAGGTGTAATTTCATTCTGGAGTGTCTTTTTCCTGATTGGTGAGCACTCCTGCTATGAGCAACCTCAGTTAATGGATTCTTTTCAGCATATTCACTAGAGTAAGCATAGAAATGTACTAGTATAAAAACTTGCTAATTGATTGCACTCATTACAATAACTAGTCCACAGGAAACTAATTATTCAATTTTAGATACATTGAAAAAACACCCCAAATTAATTTTGGGTTTCAACTTGCTGTTCTGCCTTTTCCTGACAGGGAAAAAAATATTTTATATCGGCCCTGCTCAAATTCCTTGCCACTTGCTAAAATGAAAATGGGAGAAGCACCCCATTGCTTTTGACATGTAACATTTTGCCTATATGGATGCACCAATAAATAAAACATTGTAAATAAGAAAGCTTTTAATTAGGACCAAGTTCCAGCTTAAAATTAATTATATGCCATCGTGTCTTTAAAATTGGAAGCTTTCCCCCTCCCCGTCCATTCATGAAGGGAAGAGAAATTGAATGAGAAACAAAAGCTCTGCTAAAAATAATTATGTGTTTTTTCCCATTCAAAGGGCTGGAGAAGTCAAATTTTTCCTTAACACAAGAACAACATTAAATCATAATTTTAAAACTTCTTTCTTTTCTGCCCCCTCCTCACTTTCTCATTGCATTTTAAGATTTCATCTATGTTGAAGTCACCATATTCCCAGCATTCTGCCTTTACTCTTTTAATTCTTTCTTTTTTTTTGTCTCTTCTATAACCTCTTCTCCCATCAATATCCCACCTCATCAGCAATATCATCATTGAAGTTTTTACGCTTTTGAAAGGTGGTAGACCAGTATGTTGCTGATGTGCTGCTAGTGAGAGCTGAAACAAAGATTGGCAAATGAAAGTCAGAGACTTGACTGAAGAACTGACTGATTAACACCAAGGGAAGGACAACCAGTCACTGTATTGCCTCCAAAATCCAGTTATAGCAATATAAATGTTGTTATTTATCCCATGTGTTACGAAGTTGTACAGGCTGCCGGAATGCAGATGTGCTCTTCGCATCTAGAACATTTTTGAGCTGAGATTGTAGGAGAAGCTTTAGGAATTGTGAGACATTTATTCTGTGGCTAAAGAGAAAGGAGCTGCACCATTTAACAAGGCAGAAGATTAACTGGGTAGGTAGGAAGATAAACTGATGCTTGGAACAAAGAAGCAAGGGATTGCTTTGTGCCATGAATATTGCAACTCCTTGCCCTTCACTGAGAGAAGCTGCAGGGATCTTTGTTGCTTTTTCAAGGTGTGACCCACAGACAAGGTATATAAATGCTTTATATTGCAATTCTAGATTTTCAGGGACATTCTGGACACTCTTGCCTCTTAAGTTGGCAAAAAGGGAAAAAATTACTAGTTTAAAGCTTGTCAAATTATTTGATAGTAAAAAATGGTATGTAAGTTGGATATTATTATTACAGCAGGTATGGACTGATGGTGATAAAGAGCCTGAAATGCTGAGTTTTCCTGGCAGTTTTCCATTTTTATTCTAGAGCAAGACCTGTGCACACTCTCCTGAGGGTTTTAAAAATTGACACTTGTTTTGGTAGTATTGAAGTGTCCAAAGGCAAAAGGGATCCTCCTTTTCTCTTGCATTTCGTGATGCTGTTTTTCTTTTTATTTATTGCATGTTTCTCGAACATAGGCTGCCAAATAGGAATATCTCCTTTTTTCACTACTGCTGCTCAATTTTTTTTCTAATTCAAATAGCTTTTTTTCAAGTAGGTGTTTAGTTTTAGCAAGTAACCAGTGCGGCTGCATCTGTCTCTGTTCTGATATTTTGCCTGTTGTCTCCCTAGTATCTCAACACTTCTGTCCTTGCTGTTGTCCTTTAGATATCTGCCAAAAATTAGAAGATACTTATACTTTGTCTATGCCTCTACTGTGCATAATAATTCCACCTTAGCCACTGCAGTTAACGCGGAAGGTCACTGCGTACCTGACAAGTACTATAGACGAAAAACCCGTTCCAGGTGTTATTTGTCATCAAGGCTCATAGTATAAGTGAGTTTCCTACAACAGCAAGTGATTATAATGGTTGGGGTGCAGGTGGCAGACAAAATGAGGACAAAACATGTTTCTTTCACTGTTCCCAGCACTGTAATTATTGTCTTGTCCATATATTTTTGTAGTTCAATTTACCTGAGCTTTTTTATCTTAATAATAAAACCCTTTTAGCATCAGTGAATATGTGCTGTAAGCTCCTGGGTGCCAGTGGAAATGTATGCATTGTCCCAGCTCTGTAAAACAAAACAGCGGAGAAGAGGACTGTCTGGGTTACAGCAGAGCCATGAAATGATATCCTGGTGGCCTTCTGGACTGATTCCATTGGAGGAGTGATTCACCAACGCTCCTTTAAAGCAGGAAATGCTAAAATAGGCTTTCTGAGAAGAAAACAAAGCTTGCTGGGCTGTAAACCCAGCTGCAGCAAATCCCAGAGCTTCACTTTGAGTCTTTAAAAAAATTAATCTATGGGAATACTGTCTGTATTCAAGTAGAGGTCATTTCATGGAAGCCTTCTATTGGTGTGAGCAGGTGTGGCGGCTGCCTTGCAGAGCTGCCGCAGTCGGGCGCTCCTGTCCCCCCAGGACACGCTGCTGGGTTGTCTCTGCTGCTTGTGGTGCTGTGCCAGCACTGGCAAAGATGAGTTCTGACAGTCTATAGTGCCTTTGTAAGTCACAAGAGGAGTAAAACTGGATGCACAGGTGGAGCAGAGGTGGTGCTGTGCCTTGTAAGGACCTGTAAGTGGTGCCTTTTTGGGTGAGCTGGTGAGCTTAGACATCTCTGAACAACAGTGATTCCACCCAGCAGAAAGCAGTGGAAAGGCAGCAATGTTGTTAGTTGGTGTTTTTACCCTAGGTGCAGTTTCTGTTACATGTATAAGAAGGTCCTTACAGTTTCTGACAGTGAGTGCCCGTGTTTCTCATGAGGCCTCAGAACTAGCATTATGGATGATGCTTTGATTTTTCTCCTTACCAGATGTTTCCCTGTAACTTGCTAATAACTTGTCAGTCCGTGTGATATCTTTATGAGCTGATAGTAATTTTTCTTTTAATTTCTGACTCTAATCTTCATCTTACCAGTGTCTTTAGGGTAGAATTTTCTTTTTCTGTATTTTTTTCTCCTAGATAATGATAGCCTAAGTAACTCTTCAGGCCCTGTTATCCTATTAATGTTTTGGATTTTTTTCCGTAAATCCCAGCATCTGAGAGTTATTTATTGTTTAGCCGTAAGGAACAAAACTAGATGAGTGATTTAACATCAGCATAGGCTATTTCGGTCCTGTGCTGCTGTCCCATCCTCCCCCCACACGCACTCCCTGTCCTGTCCTGTGCTGGTATTGACACTTGTCTGACCCCACAGTGAGCCAATTTAGGTAGCAGCTTCAGCAAGAAAGTAGTTCCATTTTCTTTGGCTGCGGTTCCAAGGCTGCTAATACAATGTACTAGCAGGCAGCTGCCAAAATTAGGAAGGCCTTGTTCCCAGTTTCTCCGCTCCCATCACTCTTTGCTTATACTGGCCATGGTGTTCGATGGAATCTTTCCTGATCTGCTTTAACACACTAAAGAAGAAGAAAATATATATGCATATTTTTTTCTGTCTGGGTTATTTTTTTGCCATGGTAGTGAATTAAAGTGGCCTATGAAGGCATTTGATAAGCACAAAAGCTGGCAAAACCAAAACAGAGGTGGAGTCAAGTAAGTACCAGCATTGGCACAAGGGAGAGAACAGATTTGGAGTTGGACTGGAAGAAGGAAGAATATACTGTACCAGGTCAGATCAGCTACAGCTGCAGTGAAA